CCCTCCCAACCCACCCAAGCGTTTCTCTATTGACACCACGGGAGGGTATGAACCTAGTGGCTGACACAAGACGTTTCAATCAAAGAAGCTAAAACGAAGCGAATAAACAAATACCAGAAGCAAAAAAAATAAATAATTCATCGTTGATTTCTGAAAGGGCCTCCCCGATCGCCTGCAGTGCCTCCTTGGTCGTTTTCTGAATACCAAGATTAAACTGATAAACTGAAAAATATTATTGTTTTTATCACCGGCTTCCCTTTACCGAACTAAAATAGGCTTTTGGTTTTTCGACGGTTGGTTCTTTCCTGTTTTTTTGTTCCTATTTGCTGTCACGTTTCCATTTTCTATCTAAACAGTAGATGTTATCTAGTCAATGCAGCTGTGTATTATTTGAAATAATTGAGTTTGTCAACTTTTTTGAGGATTCGAAGTGTAGTAAGTGGAAAATCAATACACGTATATACATGAAGCGCTCCTAAACAGAGTTACAGTTCGTTTTTATATTATAAAGCGTTTTGCATATAACTTGTAGCCTAGTGCACTAAATGCGTATCTTTCACAAAGCGAAAAAAAAACCACCCAGCTATCTGCTTCGAATGGTCGCATTCACGCTCTGAAGGCATGTTCCACGCAGCATTATGCCAAACTGTGTTTCGGACTTTCCGCTTCTTAAAAGAGTTGGGAGGCGGGAAAAGCGACGGGGGAAGGGGGTTCAGTTTCACGTAATATGAATACGCTGTGGACTTTAAACTTTGCGGAAAGCTTATGATGTTTATCCATAGATGTACACTAGGCACTAGATACAGTACGCCCCTCTCTCGCCTTGCTGCGCGATGGCCACATTTGACAGCGGCGTCCGCCATGTTTCAGTGGGCGAGTTGTGTGAAGGAGTTCAAGCTAAAGCAATGGACTGTGCATGTTTTCTCTCCCTCATACGCGATAGGCGATGGGCTTGGTCCTTGTTAACTTTTTTTTTACGTGGGCGCCGTGGCGTACTATCTAGGTTACTAAATAGAAATAATACAGCGTTCTTTTTACAACTAGATCTACAAACAAATGTATTATTAAATAGATAGAGATAGAGATATAGGCTTAAAAATAGAACCCCAAAAAAACCCTTTATTTTTTCATCAGCACTATATCTACGAAGTGGTTTATTTCTTATTGACTGAATAAAAGCGTAGATCTATAGGGCCTATCGAACTTATAAAAAGAAGTATGAAAACAGGTGATATCATGGGAACCTCCCATTCACCCCACCTTTTCTCTCCTCCTGGACTCACTAAAGATAAAAAAAGGGAACGTTGTTTTGTAGCCTGGACAATTGTTTGTCTACACAGTGTAGTGATAAGTGATA